CACCGAGGGTTGCGATCCTGTTGCCGGTCCCCGGTACGGGCACGACACCGAGGGTTGCGATGTCAAAAAGGAAAAAAAAAAAAGAGAATTCTAAATTTTGTTTTCTTATAATTACTCATTTCCAGGTATTTTGTTATAAGCAACAGAAATGGACTAATACCTGCTTCAATCTTGTTGCTTCTCATTGGTCTTTTTAGTTTTTCTACTTCTTCTCTGTTCAGCCTTGGTAGTTTTTATGTGTCCAGAAATTTATCCATTTCCTCCAGTTTTTCAAACTTGTTGGTGTATAGTTTTTCATAGTGGTCTCTAATGATTCTTTGTATTTCTTTGGTATCAGTTGCGATGTCTCCTTTTTCATTTCTGATTTTTGTTATTTGGGTCTTCTTTTTTTAGTTAGTCTGGCTAATGGTTTGTCTATTTTGTTTATCTTCTCAAGAAAACCAACTTTTTGTTTCATTGATTTTTTTGTATCACATTTTTGGTCTCTATTTCATTTAGTTCTACTCTGATTTTAATAATTTCTTTCCATCTACTAAATTTGGGATTGGATTTTTCCTGTTTTGCTAGTCCTTTGAGGTATAATATTAGGTTGTTTATTTGAAGTCTTTCTATTCTTTTGATACAAGCATTTATTGCAATAAACTTTCCTCTTAGTGCTGCTTTTGCAGTATCCCATAGGTTTTGGTATGATGTATCATTATCATTAGTTTCAAGAAATTTTTTGATTTCCTTTTTGATTTCTTCTTTGACCCATAGGTAATTCAGGAACATGTTGTTTAATATCCATGTATTTGTATGATTTCCACAGTTTCACTTGTTACCGATCCATGGTGGTCTTAGAAGATGTTTGAAATGATTTCAATTTTAAAAAATTTGTTGAGACTTGATTTCTGACCTAATATGTGGTCTATCTTGGAGAATGTTCCATGTGCTGATGAGAAGAATGTATATTCTCTAGGTGTTGGGTGAAATGTTCTGTATATGTCCACCAAGTCCAATTGATCTAAAGAGTAGTTTAAATCTTGTGTTTCTCTGTTGATATGTTGCTGAGATGATCTGTCCAATGCTGAGAGAGTGGTATTCAGGTCCCCATCTATTATTGTATTGGGATCACTCTCTCTCTTTAGGTGTAATAATGTTTGATTTATATATCTGTGTGCACCAATGTTGGGAGCTTATATATTCATGATTGTTATGTCTGCTTGGTAAATAGATCTCTTTATCATTTCATTTTTTGTCTCTTTTTATAGTTTTTGGCTTAAAGTCTATTTTATCTGATATAAGAATAGCTAGTCCTAGGCCGGCCCGTGGCTCACTCAGTAGAGTGCGGTGCTGATAACACCAAGGCCACGGGTTCGGATCCTATATAGGGATGGCCGGTTTGCTCACTAGCTGAGCGTGGTGCTGACAACACCAAGCCAAGGGTTGAGATCCCCTTACCGGTCATCTTTAAAAAAAAAAAACTTCCAAGGCCATGAAAAATAAGGAAAGTCTCAGAAACTGGCACATACTAGAGGGGCCTAAGGAGACATAATGACTACATGTATGTGGGATCCTGGACCAGAAAAAGGGCATTAGGAAAAAACTAAGGAAATCCGAATAAAGTATGGGCTTTAGTTAATAATATCAATTTTTGTTCATTAATGATAACAAATGTACCATATCAATGTAAGAAGTTAATAATGGGGAAAACTGCGTGTGGGGTATATGGGAATTCTCTGCATTGTCCTTGCAATTTTTCTAAAACTATTCTAAAATAAAAAGTTTATTTAAAAAGAAGAGAGATCTAAGGAACATAACAATCAGATGAAATGCATGGATCCTGGATTGGATCCTGCTTTATACAAACTTACAAAAATGTCCCTTTGGGAACTATTAGAGAAATTGGCATAACTGAGTATTAGTGATATTGGAATTATTATTAAAGGTTTCTTTCCCTACATAGGTGAGGTTCCTTTCATTATGCAGAGAAACATTGTTCCTTTTTTGGTGGCTGGCAGAGATTTGAACCCTTGACCTCGGTGTTCCCTTAATCTTTTTTTTTTTTTTGTCTTTTTTCGTGACCGGTAACAGGATCGCAACCCTCGGTGTCGCGCCCGTACCGCGACCGGCAACGGGATCGCAACCCTCGGTGTCACGCCCGCACCACGCTCAACCAGTGAGAGGACCGGTCTCTATATTGGATCCGAACCCTCGGCGGGAGCGCCGCCGCGCTCCCAAGTACCACACTCTACTGAGTGTGCCACCAGGCTGGCCCCCTTAATCTTTTTGGCTAGTTAACTCAGTTGGTTACAGTGCAGTATTGTAACACCAAGGTCAAGGGTTTGGATCCCCATACTAGCCAGCGTACCCCCCCCCCAAAAAAAAAGATATATGCTGAAGAAAGAATTTTTGTTTGCCCTCAGAATAAATTCCAAACTCTTGCCCATGGCCTAGATCTAAGCCCCTGTAAGCTCTGGCACCACCAATCTCTCTAACCTCATTTGGTACCATTCACCATTTCACTTACCGCAATCCTGCCACACCAAACTTCCTTCTGACTCCTTCCTGCTTTTAGGGCCTTTGCTTACACTGCACCTGTGCCTAGAATGCCCTTCCCATGATGGCCACAACTGAAGTACCCCCCACCTCCTATTACTCTCTCGTCACCCTATTCATTTCCTTCTGAGCATCACCTTTGTTTGCTCACCCCATACTGTCTCCCCCTCCTAGAATGGAAGCTCCTTGAGGGCAAAGACCTTTCCCGAACTTGTACACCATCTCCCAGCATTTAGAACAGTACCTGGCTTATATAATATATGCCCAATGAATATGATAGGATTTTTTTTTTTTTTTTTTGGCAGCTGGCACCATGGGGATCCCAACCTTTGACCTTGGTGTTATCAGTACCACACTCTCCCAAGTGAGCCATTGGCCGGCCCACTAAAGATGTTTTATTTATTTTATTTTATTTTATTTTTTTTAAAAGATGACCGGTAAGGGGATCTTAACCCTTGACTTGGTGTTGTCAGCACCACGCTCAGCCAGTGAGCGAACCGGCCATCAGTATATGGGATCCGAACCCGGGGCCTTGGTGTTATCAGCACCGCACTCTCCCGAGTGAGCCACGGGCCGGCCCCTAAAGATGTTTTAAAAAGACCAATGTTCATGGGCCGGCCCGGTGGTGCACTGGATAGTGCGCCGCTTGGGAAGCGCGGCAGCGCTCCTGTCCGAGGGTTCGGATCCCACGTACAGACCGGCTCCCGCTCACTGGCTGAGCGAGGCGCGGGAGCAACGCCGAGGCTTGCGATCCCGTTGCCGGTCCCCGGTCCGGTACGGGGGCAACACTGAGGGTTGCGATCCGTTGCCGGACACGGAAAAAAGACAAAAAAGACAAAAAAAAAAAAGACCAATGTTCAGGGCTGGCCGGTTAGTTCAACTGGTTAGAGTGTTAAGGTCAGTAGGGGTTGGGGCGTCCCTTAACATTGGGACGCCCCAACCCCTACTGACCTTAACAAGAGCCCTGTTATAACACCAAGTTCAAGAGTTCGGATCCCTACACACGCAACCCCCTCCCCCCACCAAAAAAAGAGCAATCTCTAAATTTTTTTCTCTCAAAGTGGCTTCAATCCATTCCCTCATTTATGATCTCATCTCTAAGCAAGAGGGAGGGAAGACACGCAGAGCAAATCCTGATTGTGAGTTCCAGACCTGTCTCAAATTAGCTGTGACCTGGACAACGTGTGAACTGAGGAGGTGGCACAGGAGGTGGAGAAGGTCTGCCTTCGCAGCCGAGGGGCTGCCTGAGAGATTCCTTTCCCAACGACTCACTCCTAACTCATCTCACCCCAGCCCATCAGGCATCTGGGGGACCGGCCCCACTCTTACCAATAGCAAACTCCACCAGGGTCTCATTTTCCTCCGACAGTGAATCGAGGAATAAATCCAGGACCTGCAGCTGCCGCAGATACTGGTAGTTGCTGGGGTCATAGGCGAAGTTGGCGAGGTTGGCGAGGACTTGCTCTTTGGCGTCTGCAACAAGAAAGCGGCCTTGGAGCCAGGAGCCCGGCGGCGGTCGCGGCCGAACCGGTGCCCGGGCCCCCAGCCCCCAGCCCGCGGCTCTCACCTTGGCTCTCCGTCTCCTGGAATTCCGTGACCAGCGCCTGCAGGTATCCCAGCCGCCCGACGTGGGGGTCTACCTTGGGCTTCTGCGCCATGGTCCGGGCGGCGGAGGGTCCCCGGGGGGACGCGCGGGAGACTGGGAAAGGGAAGGCCTCACCCTGCCCGCCACCTGCCCGGCGAGGGCGGAATGGGCGGCAAGTGAGTTCCTTTCCTGGGTCCAGGTTCTGCAGTACAATAATCTGCAGCTGGAAATGAGATGTGGAAGATGGGGTGGGGTCTCAGGACCCTGTCACGGGTTTGAAAATCGAAATTGGGGTGCGGAAGACAGGAGCACGTCTGCCAGGCACGGCAGGACGGTGACGTCGCGCCCCGCCCCCGGCTCCCGGCGGAAGCCGCGCAAGCCCCGCCCCAGAGGGCGGAAGGGGCGGGCCCTGGGGCGGGGCCGTCGCGGAGCTCTTCGGTGCGCGTGCGCGGCTCGGTTCCCGCCTTGTCGCTTGTCCCGACGGCGACCCGCACTGCGAAGGCTGATGCAGGAATGGGCGTACCGCGACGATCTTCTGTGGGGCCCTTAGGCCCGCAGACGAGTCAGAGGGCTCCCGTGCGGGGGGACATCGAGGCAGAGGCACCCCCAGACCTTCCACACCTGGCAGGAGGCGCAGCCAAGCTTCCCCTACCACGGACGCCCCACTGGAGCGCGGGCGTCAACTCCCTGCAGCCCCATCGGTCTTTTGCCCCTACGGACGGGTCAGCTTTTCCAAACAGCCGGGGGACCCCGACACCCCCTCCGCCCCAGCCCCGAGCTGGGTCTTGCCACCTCTGGCCGGAAGTCACCGGGACTGGGTCATGTCCTAAGGCTCTTTGTCAGTCATATGGACGGGGAGCGCCCGCAGCAGCACCAAGGAGCCTTAGAAGGTGCCTTGGATGCGTGGAGCTTGGAGGCGCTTTGGCGGCTTTCTGGGTTGTGGGGCCCGGGATGCCAAGGCCCTTCGGCCGATTCCTTTTTGGGGGTTCTCAGAAAAGTGGTGTGTGACCGAGACCTCGTGGTCGCAAGGAACTGAGCACAAGAGAGGGAGGTGGCCTTACCACACCCATTGTGCTAGAAACAGTGGGGGTAGCGGAGACTTAGGCTGAGCTTCTTGAGGGCAAGGACCGTGCCTTCAGTCCTGGGCCTGGTATGAGGGCAGAGTGGCCGCCACACTGCAGCCTGCTGCACCCCGTTGGAAGCAGGCCCAATCTCCGAGGTTTCAGTCCCTGTGGACCGCCTCTGACCCACGCATACCCTCTGGGGCAGGAGTTTTGACGTTAGTCTGGGCGCTTGGGTGTACTGGCTGCTCTGTGAGGGTGGTGGTGCCTCGCCAGGCCCTTTGGCTTTTGTAGGGAGCTGATGTGTTCTGGGGAAGTGCTTCTCAGCCCAAAGTAGCCAGGGCCTTCTCTGCTTCTCCCTGGATAGAGCAGCAAAGGCCTGGGGAACAGGAGCCTAGGACTTGGGGACAGGATTTAAGTTGGCTCCACCCTTTTCTGGCCAGGAACTGCCCCAGACCCTCTATAGAGGATTTCCAGGAAATCAGTTAAGTGTGGGCTCCAGAATCAGATGCACCACCTCATCCTACCTCATTTATGTCTGGTCTTACCCCTTCCCGAGGCCTCAAGGACCCTTCTCTTTGAGGAAGAATTCTCAGTCCTTGGTTTTGTGCTAAGGGCAGGGACCAGGTCTCACTTCTCTCTGCCCAGTCCCTGGCACACGGTAGATTCTCAATAAATATTTGTTGAAGGAATTCTGCCCAGAGATTATTGCCATTCTTGCCTGGGGGCAGACGAGGTCAAAGTTCCCTTTACTTTAATATTTTCTGACATCTTTTTTCCTTAAATGTTTTCTGGAAGTGGGACCATCAGGGGATATACAACATAGCAAAGCCTGGTGGATACTAGTACCAAAAGCACCTACCCACCAGCCCCAATACCCTCCTTTTTCACTCAGTTGAGATGGAGGAGACAGGATCTAGTAAAATGCGTCCAAGCATTCTTCCTCCAGGGCACAAGCTGTGGACGGCAGAAAGGCAATGGGGGTCTTCAGGACACTCACAGACTCAGACTTTTCATTTTTTTTTTTTTTTTAAAGATGACCGGTAAGGGGATCTTTAACCCTTGGCTTGGTGTTGTCAGCACCACGCTCAGCTAATGAGTGAACCAGCCATCCCTACATAGGGATCCGAACCTGTGGCCTTGGTGTTATCAGCACCACACTCTCCCGAGTGAGCCACGGCCCAGCCCCGGGCCTCAGACTTTTAAAATTGGAAGAGACTTTAGCTTGTTCAGACTAACCTCCTTTTTCAAGGCCCAGAGATAGTGAACAGTTTGCCCAAAGTCACGTGGCAAATTGCAGCAGAGTCAAACATGAACTCGGGTCTCTATCCCATCCCAGAGCCCTTTGCTTTGCCGCTGCACTACCTCCTTTGGCCATTAAGGGGGCACTCGTGGCAGGGTCCTGGAGAAGACAGGACGTCCCCAAAGATGCTCAGTCAACCTGGACGTACGGAGGAGAGAGACTGGCGTCCAGTCATGAAAATAAAATCGATTCTCCTGATAAGATGTTCTTGCTGGAGCCTGGCTGAGCCTGAATCAACAAACAAGGTCCTGAGCCTGAGCAGCTCCTGCCAAGCTGAGAGAAAGGAAAGAGGAGGGAAACTTACTCCAGGTTTCTCTTCCAGCTTTATTAGTTCACAGAGTTTATGACCTGATGCAGAGAACATTTTTGTGTGTAATTCAAACAAACTCTGTTTTCCCATTCCCTCAGTACCCTGCTAGGACAAGCCTGGGCTCATGATAACCAGCCCTTCGGTGACAACCTTAGGGTAGTCCACCAGCAAAGAATATTGAGGGGGAGCTCTGACCACACCACAGACGCAGGCAAAAGGGAGCAGGGCTGGGCTGGCAGCTGGCCCAGCCAACTACTTACTCCGGGGTAGACACTTCTCCCACAGCAGTGAGAAGAGAGGCCTCAGGAGGACAGGAGAGGGGAGTGGAAGGGCTTCTGTTGCAAAAGCAGCCCCATTTTCTCAACAGTCCTTGAGCTGCCTAGCAAGCTGTCTCCTCCCCTGGTCGGTCTGGCTTCTCCCAACCAGCACTTATCTTACCTGCCAAGAACACAGCGTGCGGCAAAGGAGGGAGGAAGAATCTAGAACAGGCCTGAGATTGGAGACCCCTCAGATCTACCCGAATCTAGGGCCCAAGCCAGGGGCTTCCCTTCTGCTTTCTGCATAGGTGCCAGGATGGGTACTCTACCTGATTTTTAATCTGTCCCAGTTGTGTATCCAGGCCAACTCTTCAGCCTGGCCTGCCACTTCTGCCTCTCACAGTCAGCATGAGGCCCAGTAATCTGTGTAAGGGCAGCCACACCACCCATCTTGGCTATTGTAATGGTAAGGCCTGGGTCACTTGGGAAGAGGGAAGCAGGGGATCCCCAGAGGAAGGGTGAGCTCTTCAGAACTGTCTGAAGGACAGAGGACAAGGAGAGACAATGTCAGAGGCACGTGATGGTCCAGTTGTAAGAGCAGCAATGGGAAGCTAGCTGAACAAGCTGGCCGTGAAAGGCCCAAGCAGGGCTCAGACCCACCTTCCTGGGCCCCAGGTAACCTGGTGTCCAAGGAGAAGAGTCAGGAGGGCCTGTTCCTGGATTCTGTTGTTGGAAGAAACACTGAGTCTTCAGAGGCCAGCCTCCGAGGTCCCAATTCCTGGCTGAGTCCCACCTTGCAGAGCCTGGACAACCTTTGATCCAGGCTTCCTGGGCTGCCTTTAGCTCAGCCCCTGGTAAAACAGCTGGAGATCCCATTCCTGGGTTGACACAGTGGCCACTAACTGACCTCAGGGCTCAGATGCTGGTCACATACGTGATCTCAGGGGACAGATGCTTCTTGGAACTGTCTCTGCCTTCTGGGGTAATATCCTGCTCTGGGGCAGCTTCCATGCTGGCTCCTTCCACCTCAGCCCTCCTGTCTCGCCTCTCCTTCTTCTGCAGGGCATAGAAGCTGCCACCCATGAAGAGGGCGGCTGAGATGAGGAAGAAGCTTGACAGGTAGAAAACGCAGCTGAAGTTGTTGGTGGCATCCAGGAGGAACCCTGGGGGACAGAGAGCAAATTAGGCCACTGCCTAGGGCTACCAGGCCTCCCCCAATAAGATGTGTGCTTCGTGAGAGCAGGGATTTTATTTTTGTCTCCACTGTACTAGGAATCACGGCTGGCACCCAGTAGGTACTCAGTAGATATTTATTGAATGAAAAGACGGGGGGTGGGGGGAGGTGGAACACTAAACCTACTCTAGCCTGGGCAAGAAGAGTCCTCAGGCCAGAAGAGAACTTAAGGGCACGACCCCCTCACCCTTGGGAGCAGGAAACCGAGGAGACAAGGGCTAGTGGAGTCTGGGACATTTGCGCAGCCACCTCTCAGGTCCCACCCATACCTCCTGATGCTCTCTCCACTTGCTTAGAGAACTCCCTTGGAAACTGTCCCCATTGGGCTGGAATCAACCTCCCATGTCTTACATAATAAGTGCCACCACATACTGTCTGTTGACTGCCTCCCAGCACCAACAGCTCTATACCCATTTCCTCATTTACTTGGAATGTCGCCCTCTCAGCTGTTCTCATGTGGGTCTCTACTTCCATATTGTTTTGTTTCCCTCCCAGCATAAATCACCATGTGGTCACAAACACTTCTCTTTGCTTTAATTCCTGACTTCTCCTCCAAAAGGTAAGCCCCAAGGGGGTAGGGACCTTTGTATTCAGCCATGTGCACCTAGTGACTGGCACTGGTGAATAAATGGTCAGGGCAGGTGTTCTCTTCTGCATTTTGCAGATGACATTGTGGCTCAGAGAAGGAAAATAACTTGCTCAGGCCCCTCAGGCAGGAAGGAGAACCAGAATGTTAATAATAGTAAGCACGCATATGCATAGCACTTACTACTTGCCAGGCTCTCCATTAAGCTTTTTTTTTTTTTTTTAAACATGACTGGTAAGGGGATCTTAACCCTTGACTTGGTGTTGTCAGCACTATGCTCTCTGAAGTGAGCAAACCGGCCATCCCTATATGGGATCCGAACCCATGGCCTTGGTGTTATCAGCACCGCACTCTCCCGAGTGAGCCATGGGCCGGCCCTCCGCTAAGCTCTTTACTGGGATCCTCACAAGAAGCCTTCAGGATAGATTCTGTTATCATCCCGGCCTTAATAATTTTTTAAAAAATGTAGGTATAGGGAGGAAGATGAAGGACTTAGGTTGGTCCAGTTTGCAAACCCATGTTTTTAACTG